TTCAGAGTGGAAAGACACTAATTTCTGGGGCTATACTCTGCTGTCTGTGGCGCAACTCTCACAAGGGTGCAGGGGATATCAACACCCATTTCCTTGCCTGTGGCAACTGCAAACCATAAGCCCAGTGCTGCAGACATTGCCCAAGATGCTGATTTCAAACCCGTATGGGCATCTGTCTACATTCTCATGCTTTAAACCAGGACAGTGCCTGTGCTCTGGGAGAACTAGAGATCAGTGCAGGGGCAGGAACCCACTTGTATGAACAGGGGGGAATGGGGCACACCTGGATACTTCCCACCAGGGAGACAGCTCCCAGGAGATCCGTGCTTGTGTATGCACAGGACACGCATATGCTGCTCATTCAACACATAATAAATTTACTCTGCCAATAGGCAACACTTCAGGACTGCATCTGTAGCATCTATTAGGAATGGCAAATTAATTAAAATCACAAGCTAATTAACCTCCCAGGTCTTTGCATGCTCACTCTGCTGCTACTCACAGGGCTTTGCTGGTCCCTGCATTGCTCCGGGGTGCCTAGGGACAGTGAAACCTGCTGCATCATGAGGCTGTTAACTGTTTGATGGTGCTTTCTATGCAAGTGTTCTCTTTAGAATCATAGAATTGTTGAGTTGGAAGGGATCCTTAAAGACCAAGCAGTCCAACTTCCCTGCAATGAACATAAACCTACAGCTTCATTGCTGCTCAGAGCCCTGTTCAGCCTGACTTTGGGAGTTGGGTGTTGAGAGCCGTGTTAGCTCCTGAGGTGGCATCTCCTCATGAGAGCTACTCCTTTTCATTCTCCTATCTGTTCCCCTGTAAACCAAATTGCCATGTTCTCTTACTCCTCCAAAAGTTACTGTTTACATAGCATCTGTATGATGCTATTTTCCCCTCTGAATAATTGTTTTCATAATGAGAAACTGGAAAGAAGCTCCAAACAACTACCATGAAGAAGGGAAAATTCTCACAGAATAAATCTCCATAGGCTCAGTTAAATTTCCCCATATGTGTGACTTCTGCAGCTTCCTGGAGAGGCAGGGAATTATTTTGCCCCATTTTTGTGTACTGACTGTACCAAGTATTTCCTTTCATGCTATCAGGTGGTAGGTAGAGCATTTGCTGTTTTCTGTTTAGTAGAGCTGATATTCAAATTAAGGGATGTCCCTTGTCACAGATATAATTTCATCCCTCTACAGCACTTGCCAAGAACAATGAGATGGCCTCGTTATTAGACACTGTGCTTGGTTCATTACTTTAAAATATGTTAGCACTTTGTTTGCAATAGGTTTGATGGCTTAAACAGCATAGTTGCTGAATTTTTAATGGTAACAATCAAGTATTTTATTTGTATTTGAAAAAGGAACAGAAAGAATGCGGGTGCTTTGGGAGAGAGCTGGTTTGTGAGACCAAAGCCTGCTGTGCCTTGCTGTGCCGTGCCTCACCCTTCTTTCAGGTCACTCTGACAATGTCACGATTACTGAAGGTGATTTGTCATTTAAAGGAGGTATAAAACATTCTCTGGGAGCTCTTGCAACACATGGGAACATTTGCCTTCAGAGCATCCACAGATAGGGTCTAATCATCTCTGTGTAAAGGGAGAAGACCTTGCCTGTTCTTGAAGCGTCTTTCAGTCAGTGCAAGGGTGTTTCTTGTGAGGGTGCTAAAGAGACAGAGCTTGGATGTGTCTCATTAACAGTGAAGTTGAAACCCCACTGATCCTGTGAGAACTGCTCAGGAAGAAAGTGTTACGAGGCTGCCCCACATTCCTGTATTCCAGCCGAGATCTGGGCTGCCCTGATGGTGTTGGGAAGAGAAAGGGAGGAACCTTTGAGAGTATTTCCTTTGCCAAAAAAAAAAAAAAAAAAAAGATTTTTTAAACCCATGCACACAAGGTTCAGCTTCCTCTGGAACTGGAGACTGTCTCACAGCAACATATGCTAATTCATGAAATGAATTTCATTCACTGAAATGTGCAGTAGAGTAATTTCTTCCTACTTTTGAATGCAAGTTGTAATTCAGACTTTACTATGGTGGCATTCCCATTACATGGGACTGAAGAATGTCTGTAATATTTACTTCATTATTGCTTTTTTTTTTTTTTTTTTTTTTTTTTCAATAAGCTCTCTCTCATCCCACAGCACCCCCTGTGCAGTGTGTTGTGTTTTGGCATTGCACAGAGAGGTTGGCTGCCCTGGTCAGGCTGACAGTGTCCTGGACAAATGGGGGCTTTGGGAGGGGCGTGATGTGACTTAGTGCTCTTCTTCTTCCTGGAGGGAAGTGCTTAGTGCAGCTCCAGCAGTGCAGTACTCCCACAACAGGAACCTATTGAGACACAGCCAATACGTGGTGTATTTCACTTTGATTTAAATGAGCAATTAATTAATAAATAGGGGGATTTGCTTATGTTATGATTTGCATTTTGAATGAATGATTCTTCCAGCAAAAATAAGCTACCCCCAAATAGTAACATCTTCATAACCCTGACGCTTCTCTTTGGGCTGCTGATAGAAATACTGCATAGCCACTGTCAGCACTGAGCTCCTACTGAGAACCACAAGCGTTGAAAGAGAAAAAGGAATAGTGGGAGAAGCAGAGCAGGGTGAGAGACAAAAGGGAGTTTGCTTCCCCACTATGTAACAGACTGATTCTTAAAAATTCTTTTGATGAATTTCATGTGCTTACAATAGACTATTCTGTGTATTTATCTGTGTTCTCTCTGTGTGAGGCTAATGACTGCCTGAAATCACTCACTGAAAGCAATTGTTTGGACATCTCTCCAGATATGTTAAAAGGTGATAAAGTATAGGATTTTAGTTATTGTTCAGCTCACATCTGGAATTAACTGCAGCCAGCGTCTGGCACAACAAGTCAATAGCCTCACTCTATATTCCAGCTGCATCTTTTCCTTTTCTGAGCTTGTTCTGTCTGGCTTTGTGTTGCTGAATGGTGCAGTCACAGGAGGGATTGTGTGCAAGAGAGCGAGCTCTCTGGTTTGAGGCAGGAGCTGGTGTGAGGGATTAAAGCTCCTGTTGTGACAGAGATGGTAACAAAAGCAGAAAACTTCCTCGTGCAGAAGGAAAAGTTGTCTGTATGATAACAGACGTTTGGAGGGGATGCATGGATATTGATCAATGGGTTTCACACTAATTCCCAAAGTGGCAGTGGTGTCAGTCTTGTTCAGGTCCTGATGCTTTCTAGCCTGGGGCTGCAGGGTGATGCTGCTTCCCACTGCTGCTGGAGAGTTTGTTCCTACTGGCATGGATACAGAACATGCAGTGAAGAGAAAGCAGTTCCTTTTTATTGCCCTCCCATTTCCAAATCCTGGGGACTCTATATTGCTGATGGCATATGCCAAGGAAAACCAAGCATGTTTCTCCCTGGCCAGTGCCTCGCTGTCTGCCCAGCTGTGGGTGCCAGCCCCTGCCATGGAACATCCTCACTGCAGCCCCAACATGCCAAGAGACAGCGGGCTGCTATGCACAGCCTGCGGGTGCTTAGGGTAGGCAGGCACCTTGTGGTGATAAGCTGCACTTTGGTATCAGTAAATAACAAGAAAATCCTTCAGGCTTAAAATTGCTTATGGTAAAAAGCTCCTATTTGTAGGTATCGCTGTCTAACAGAACAAACTGTCTCGGGAGCTTAAGGATAAACCTGGCATTCACTAGTGGGACTGGTTGTGGGGTGGGGGAATAAGGTGAGACTGGGGCAAAATGCACACAAGTTGCGTTTGAAGAAATAGCATCTTAGCAAAAGTAGTCTTACTCTTCATCTCTCGTCTCTCACTATTTAAGTCACAGTGCAGCTTCCTGCTATTATTACAGCAATTAAAATGCAATTACTTTTTCATCTTTATTTCAGTTCTTGAATAATTAAAGCCACTTTACATCAAGGGTGATCCATAAAGGAAGTCATTTTGCATGTGAAAAGCTGTGAAGAGTGGAAGACATCGGGGTATCGCAGTCAGCAGAGAGCATCTGAGATCGGTTATAGCACGGTAAGCTGCCTCCTTTGCACAGCTCTACAGGATCATGGAAGGAGGCCAATTGCTGGATTTCAGTGCTTTATCTTGATTAAACGGCTGTTTCAATTTGGTATTCGCTCCTTTCATATTTGTAATCACTTTAAGATTTTCATTTTATAGTATTTGCTTACTTAACTGCTTTTTTCCTGCCAAGTCCAAAAAAAGAAGGGCTTTTCCCTCCTTCCCCTTTTCAGAGCTGCAATGAAGAAAAGAGTTTACACAAAATGACTTCTATATTTAAAGTCTCCTGATGTAAATCTCTGAGTGCTTTATATAGTCAGAGCTGGTAGCTATGGCAGATAAGTGTTAGAGTTCTGTGTAGGTGCCTCCCCTTCCCTGATGCTCGGAAAGATTTTGGAGATTGCTGTGATTCCTTTTCAAGTGTGTGCTGAATGCTTTCATCAGTCGTTGTCTCTTCTGTGAAATGCTTTGAGATCTTCAGTCGTGGAGGCACTGAACCATCTGAGACATCGGCATCACAGATGTATGTAAGTAGCAGCCTCCTGTGGGCAGCTCTCACCCCACACCTCTTTGCCATAGCGAACTCGGGTCACCAACTAGAAAAGATTCCTGCATACACAAATGCCATCTCTCAAATCACCCAGGATGGAGTTTTCAGATGACAGCCTAACAGCTGTTACAAGACCTGTGCACTCATCTTGCCCCTCCACAAAATTGCACCATGCTGTAAACTGGGTTTGATTACTGCAAGGGACAAATAGCTTGTACTGCTAAAGGATTCTGTAACTAGCTTGTGAATCAGGGGAAGGGAAGGGAGTGGAAGAAGAAGGAGAAGGAGAATGACAAGGAGAACAAGAATGAGGAGAAGAGGAATGAGAATGAGAATGAGAATAATGAGAATGGGAATGAGAATGAGAATAATGAGAATGGGAATGAGAATGGCAATGGAAATGGGAATGGGAAGAGGAAGGGGGAGAGGGAGGGGGAAAAGGAAGGGAAGGGAGTCTGGCCAAATAGTGCATTTAAAAGAAAATCAAATTGATCCTCAAACTTGGCAGTCTGCAAAAGCTTATTGAAAGACAAAGCAACTGTTGCACAGCCCTTCTGTGGCTGATTCAAAGACTGTGAGGGCTAAACTTGCTTTTACCTGTACTCAGTTATTGTGTGGGTTTTGCTTGGTATATTCATGGTATATGAGCCTACCGGTGTGCTGGGAAGTGATTGCCCAGAGGAAACTTGTCTCTTGCTAGATATGCTACCCGATCAAAGAAGGGACCGATGATACAAGGGAAAATGTAAAATCTACAGGAAGAGTGGCTCAACTAGAAGTACTGGAGTCCAAGGGCTCTTACAATGTTTTTTTTTTCCCTTTCAAATAGAAATAATGCATTTATGGCCTTGATGGTCTCTGAGAGCTGGAAAACCCTTGCAATCCTTTGTATGGATTTTCTTTAGCCTTCTAAATCTCAGTGATATGAATCAATCATATGTGAGCAGCTCTGTAAAAATCTCACGTCCTTTCCACTATATTTCATCCACCATCCCCTTCTCCAATCAATAGAACAAAAGCCAACTGCAATCTTCATTCATAATTGGTGCAGAAAACAAGTTTGATATTTCAAAAGAAAGTTTCCGTCATTTCTCCTTAACCTCAACCCTTTTCGTCTCCTCTCTCTGCCAACTATCAGGTTTCTGACGTTGTTTGATAATAAGAGGTGCCTGGTAAGAGGGCACGAGCTCTCACAGTGTCTGACACCACTAGAAGCAGCACCATCATTCCTTCTGTTGTAAATTAAAAGCTTCACAGGGACATGTGTGAGCAGAAAAACCTCCTGAGCTTAAAAGAATTGGAAGAGGTGAATGAGCAAGCAAAAGCTTGATGGTTCACCTGAGCTGCATCTCCAGCAGCACAGCCACCTCTCACTCAGGAAAGACTTTGTCTCTTCATCTCTGTTTCATACCACTTTGCTCACTTCTGGCTCTTTCCCAGTTATGCAGTGGCATAAGGCTTTTTTACATCAGACCTCGGGGACATGTAACCTGCAGCTTATACCCTGTATAGGCCACAAGTGTTGCTAAAGAGATGTTAGGGCTCTGGGGACAGAAGCTTTGGATTTTGACAGCTCTATGTGGTGCTGCAAGCAGCACAAAGCATGGACACCACACAGCAACTCAGAGGGATCAGAGGGATCTCAGGGTCGCTTGCAACTTTGACTTCTTCCCTCAAGCTTCTCAATGAATTTCCCAACCTTTCTGCACAATGAAGGTTTAACTTTGCTGTGATTTTTGAGACAGAGAGGAAAGAAAGAGAGCAGATGAAGTCTTACCTGGAAGTTTGCATGGTGCTGGGCATCACAGCCCAGTCCTGCCCAGAAGAAGATGGCGTGCCTGCAGCCTGTAGGCACAGAGGGGGGTGAGCAGAGGAGATGCTATGGGTAAAGGCAGTCTCACTGCTGCAGCAGTGCCAGGCACTCTAGGTGCAGAATAGCCATACGAATTACCATCATCATAGGCAACACCTTACTTTATTCAATGCCTGAAGCAAGGTTTTATCCTGCCTGGTTTTATGCTGAAACCATATTTCTGTCCCCTCCATCCCTGTCACCTCAAGGCACAGAGCTTCTCGGGGTCACAGAACTGGGGTGAGGTTTCCTCACGGGCTGCTGTGCGCCAACCCTGCTGCACTGTGATGGGAGCAAAGCACTGCAAGAAGAGGTGGAAAATTACCTGCAAGTCATTTGGTTTTTGTGTGAGTGGTTTTCTCCCAGTTCACTCCACTGCAGAAGTTTCCTCTGAACACGTATTCCTGCAGCTTGTAGCCAATTCTGCTTGCTTTCTCTCCTGCAGTTTCTCCTGTCCTTGGATTTGATCGAACTGAGTTTTAACTGGCGCCAATTCAGAGCTCGGAGAGCAGCGTTCTGTGAGCTACGCTCTGAAAAATTAAAAGCCTTGACCTCCGCATTTCTGTCTTCACCCTTCACCCCTGACATGTAGTAAGGCTTGGGCTCAAGCTTGGAAGTTGCTGAATTTTTATTATCTAATGCAATTTTTCTCTGCAGATTGATTTCTGTGAAGTACCTCGGGGTATTTGCTAACATAAACATTGCTCCAGTTGCACAGGCTGTATGTTTGCATCGACAGGAGGAAAAGAGTCCTTATTACTGATATTTTGACTTCTTTCCTCAAGCTTCTCCCCAGGAGCCAGCACGTAGGCAATATTGATAACTGCTTTTTTAATTTAGGGCCAATTTTCTATATAGATGGATGTGACGATGCATAAATAATACACCTCTTTGCTGCATGGATTGTTTATCCCGGACTTCATTGGCATGCACGGCACACAGGCAAACTGAAAGCTTCTCTGGATGGGTATTGTCAGATAACTTGCCAGGTTATTCCCTAGAGAAAATCATCAGACACACAGAGCTGGAGTTTTTAAAGTCCTTTTATTTCATCCTTTCAATGCACTCCGTGCTGGTACAGCAAAGTTCAGGCTGAATCAGCACTCCCATTAAAATTCCTTATTTTCAGGAATTTATAAGTTGTTGGTGAAAAGAATAAGAACAGGGCAGGACTGTACAAGAGCTGAGCTCCAAGGATGAAGACATTTGCACAAAAGTTTAAAAAGCACACAAAGGAAGATGACAAATGCTCTCCGTACAAAGCAAATAATTGTTCCAGGTGGCTGTCTGGCTGCAGAAGGTAGGCTCTGGAAAAATCCTGCTGCTTAATTCAGAGGATTTGGACATCTGTGCAGGACACCCACCCCCTCCACAGCCCCTCTCTGCCCCAGGTTGGCCACAGGCGCAGCTCAGGGCTGGTCATGGGCATTGCATGGGCATGGGTGGCAATGAAGGCCCTTCACCTCCTAGAGGGTTCTTGAGCTCCGAGGGGAAACAAATGCCTGGACAGCTTGTTTGCTGTGGTGCTTATCATGGTGCATAATATATTCCACTTTTAAATAGATTATGAAAGGCCCAGTTCTCTCATTAATTGCAACATTCTCAAGAACGTCATTATCAGCAGGCCTTAAATGTACACTTTAGAGTCTTAATTACTTGATATGCCATATGCCATTCCCTGGATCTAATACTGTGAGCAAAACTCATTCATGAGTGCTTTATGATGAACTCAATTTTACAGCTGATACCAATAATATTCAATTCTTTCCTAATGCTAGGAAATAATCTGAACACTTTTGCTATGGAAATATATTATTTAATCTGCTGATTTGAAGAATGAAAAGGATTTAAAAATGCTTGCTGTGTTTGGTTACTAAGCACTGACCCACTCATGTTTTGAGGTCCTGGTGATTTCTGAAAATGAGGAATCGTGACCAACTTGTTTCCGCCCTGCTTGCAGAATTCTGGCTTTTATAATTACCACATATTAAAATTACATTAGGTTTATCGTTTACGGCAGTGCCTTCCAGGCTGCATAATGCATGGAAGGATGCTCAGCATCCAGATGCTGGAGTGGTCCATGCTTCAGAAGACGAGTGTTAAGTATGGGGGATTTTCCTCAGCTGAGTGTGTGCTGTTTGGTGTTAGTTACTTCGGATTAGAAGGAGCCTGCCTCTACTCCCAACTCTGAGAGATGGCAAAGTAACATGCTATTGTCTGGATTATAGTTTCTTAACAAGTTATTAAATGTTTGCTGTTAAATTTTGCAAAAATGCAAGCAGGGAAATACAGGCTTGAGAGGCATAGCTGAAGCAAACATATTACCCAGGGGAAATTAACGTGGTCTTGCATGTCTTAATAAGAATAAAAGGAGAACAAAAGATATTTTATTACATGAGATTTGTATGGGTAGTTTGCTGAAATTGTTTTTTGCTTTTGTTTTTTTTTAGTTAGTAATTAATTGCTAGGCTAAGCTGTAATAATAATATCAGCATAGCAATAAGATAATGAGTGCTGATTGATAGCAGGCATAAATTTAAATGAGTGGTGTGACTGGCCTTGTACGAGCAAAGTGTCCCAGTTAATGGCCAGAAAAGGCTTGGAAAAATAAATATGTAAAGCATATTGACTAAGGCACATGAGTTAAGTTAAACGCAGTGGTGCTTTGGCTCTGCTCTTCTCTGCTTGCTGGTTGCCAAAATGCTGCAGCCATGTGCTGGCAGCCCAGCGAGTTGAGCAGTCACTGGATGAAGATGGCAGGGCTATGGCAGGGCTATTGGCTGGTCAGTTCTGCAGCTTAATGGGGGGAAACTGGTTTGACCTTAGCAGCAAGGATGTGATAATGTAGTTTGGTTTCTGATGAGTACACAAAGTAGCACCCGGTCTGTGGAAGAATGGGAGTATTGCTTGTGTTCAGTTTTCTTTGGCTCACCAATTCTGTGTCCCAGTTGGATGCTGAGGCTCCTACTCTCCCTGCACTGTCAGAAGCAAACAAACTGCTGCCAGGGGCAGTTCAGAGCATTCTGGGCGGCCTCTGCTCTGAATCACTCAGCCTGCTTTGGGACTTGGGCAACCAAATTGGACCCACGCTTAATAGGAGTCTTCCTGGGCTTAGTGCATCACAGCTTGTGAAAGGGCTACCCTGGTTGCTCCTGCCTTTCCTAATCTCCTTTGCCTCTATAGAAAATTTCCTACTAGAAATCGTTTGCCAGCCTCAGTTTTTAAATCCCAGTTAGCCTTCAGCTGAGGAGCAGCTCCTTGAAGCAGCACCAGGACACCGGTGTCACACTGCTGAGAAGAGCACATGGGAGAAGAAGCCCTGATGCAAGCCTTGACTTGGTAAGCAACGCACAAAAGGCTGCCAATGGGAACAAATGTATTTTGGTAATATAGGTGAACTATATTTTAGCCGTACATCAGCAAGAGAGTGCCTAAAATGCTGCTGAGGGGACAGAAGTGCTGACCACACCTTGTGCCTTATTATGGACTATCATTATTAAGCTGCTATGGACAGTCAGTTCCAGCACTTTACTCGACAGTGCTGCTCACTGTGGAGCTGTTTGTCTCCTCTGAACACCTCAGAGCACATGCCGTGATTTCTCAGTGTCACCTATAGCTGCAGTGTCCCAGCTCAGCAGTGGCTGCGGTGCTGCCCCGGTGTGTGCAGTGGAAGTTTGTGTGTGCTGGTAAATGTGCTACGGAGCAGTGAGAATGCAGCGAAAGCACCAGTGCACATCACTGTTTGAGAACTGTAAGATCTAGAAAAGAAAGACAAGTTCAGACAGAAAAATACATCAGAAACATCATTAAACTTGCAAAGCACTCAGAAGTTCCGATACACTGGAATTAAGGCATCTCGTACAGCCTGGACCTGTCGTGGCAGCGCTTTCAGCTTTTCATCAGCTATTTGCTCACATGCAGCTCTGCCATTGTTTTTCTTGTTTTCCCCAAATTCATGTGCCCAGAATGGTGACTGGCTGGTGCAGATGAGGCCTATGTAAGGAGGTGGTTTGCCTGGGAGCTGTGAATTGCTCTCTGGCCAAGTAGTTGGTCCCTCCCTCCTCCAGGTCTTTGGTTACAATGTTCCTATTGCAAACACAGGTATTTTTTTTTTTGCAGTAGATGAGTTCTTTGATGGCATGCAAACAGAAGACTGAGCATGTAAAGATGAATGCTTCATGCCATCTCCTATTGAGCAGGCTGAGCAATGCCTCAGGACTCCATGAGGCTGAAGGCTGCAGAGAGCTCAACTGTGGTTGCAAGTGACATCAGCAGCCTCAATCCACTTACAGCTCCCTGCAGAGCAGCAGGGTGCCCCCAGGATCCGGCTGAATGACGCACAGGAGCCTCACAAAGAGCAGGAGATGCATGTGATGATCATATGCCAAAATGGATGTGGGCAAGATGCCTAACACGATGTAGGGGCTTGAGCAATTGCTGGAGATATGCAGCCAGCCCTGGCACTTCTCTTAAATGAGAACTATCTTTTTTTGCTGGGATAATCTATCATACTTGAAACATTTGAAAGGCTGTATCTTTCCCCTTAACCATTTTATCATTTTAATTTAAAAGCTTTTTAAAATTATCACCCAAATAAATGATAAGTAGTAACAGGGTAAACTCCTCTGAGCTCTCCATTAGTGCAAACAATGCAATGTGACTGTGTTCTATTTACAGAAAATTAATGAACGTAAAAAAGATGAAGTGCTCGCCATCCTGGTGATTGTAGGTTGTTTTTCATGCAGCTTTATCCATTAAATTCTGGGACAAAAGAAACGTCCTCACAATTTTAATAGTTGTAATATATGATTGCATGTGAAGGGAATAGGAATAACATTTATTTTATTTAATGAAGACTAATGAAGTTGTTCTGATCTTTCCATTACAGTTTCAACAAATTTTTCTAATCAGGAAGATCCTACTTTCTGAAAGCTAATTTTTCATCTTAAACATCATCTAAAATGCCAGCATAATAGTGAAATGCAGGAGCAATATTATAGGATGCCAGAAAATTTCCAGTACTAATGGAAAATTGATGCATTTCAGAGGTTTTTTGGTCTCTTTTTTGGTTAAGAGAAAAATGCTCAGGTTACTAGAGAAACGTTTGCTTTTCTGTCATGGTGCTTTATCATCTATTAGACAAACATGGCAGATATTGGCTGATATTTCAGCTGGGAGGAATGAAGGAGTATGTTTCCTGAGTCTGGTCAGGGCAGGACACTGGACGGTGTAAAATAAAGGACGGTGTTGGGAGATGGAGAGATTGAAGGAGGTAATCACTGCAACCAGGTCCTCCTGGGGCACTGCAGTCAGTGATGACATTCTTTGAAAAGTGTGCTTGACTCATTAAGCCAAGGTTCAGGCTACAAATACTGGGAAGTTATCAGGGCCAAATTTTAGGGAATCCGTATGTTAAGATTCACGATCGAGCGTGGCTGTAGGGATCCAGATGCTTTTGGGGATCCCAAAGCACCAGCAATTCCTTTGGTGTGGGCACCTAAACGACTCCATAGGCAGGACAGGGTGCTAAAGGCAGCAGGACTGAAGGTCTCTGAGAATGCCTTAGTCAATAGTCATGACTTGATGTTGGGGTCTTCTATGATGACCTGTCCCATTTCCTGCTGTAAGCTGCTGTGTTTCAGATCATGTGCAGCAGCATTGCTCTTAGGAAATAAAAAGGAGTAGTTGCCCAGTCTTGTGCTGTCTTAATTTCTGTTATATATATCTTCTTCTGTGTTGGTGCTGCTACATAAATCTGTCTAACACCTTCTCGTAGCATTAATAGGGTTGTTGAGCCGTCAACATTTTTCACACCTGACAGTTTCTTAGAATGCATCAATTATTTTTCTACCTTTGTTCACAGTTTTGCTGCCTTCTGGAGAAAAAAAAAAGAAAAAAAAAAAAAGAAAAAAAAAAGAAAAAAAAAAAGAAAAGAAAAGAAAAAAAAAAAGAAAAGAAAGGATTGATTTTACTTTTGGTTTGAATAGAAGAACTGAAGTATTTTATAGCCTTTGTGTAAGCACAAACATGATAAATACCACGGGCAATGGTGAATCTTGAACTGGTGAACTGCCATTTTCAGGCCAGCAGGTGTGCAGAACAAGCAGAATAGGAAACTCACGCTGAAAATAACAGGAAAAAAATCACTGCCTGTTATTACCATTTCTAGATATGCTGATGCACATCTATACACTCGTGGATTCACACAGAAACTACGTCTGTCCTTAGCAATTTGGTTTTATTGTATAAACTTCTTGTCATCTGCCTTGTGTTGCAGCAGCTCTTCCTCTGTTTGCTCTCCCCATTATTCACTGCCACTCCTCCAGCTTAATGCTCAGAAGGTGGCAAGTCAGTGAGTCCTTTGTGGCACGTCTTGCCTTGTTTGTCTGGAAAAGCACTACATCACGCAATGACAGATGATAGGTTCTTTTTGTATTTTCTTAGGAGTCCTGATGTCTCACTAGCAATGAGACTTTTATTCCTCTATTTACTTAGCTCTTTCCCTCAGCAGTGTAACCCACACTTCTACTTGACTTCTTTCTTGCCCTTACACACATACAGTAGAAAGCTGGCAGTTTTAATAAGTACAGACTTGGCTGCCTAATTGAGATTAACATAGATAGTTAAAGTATTAGCACAGGAGCTGAACCTTGGTGGCTTTCAGGAATTGCTCATCTCTTTGCTGGGTCAGGTTCTGATGAGTTATTTTAACACTTCCATATTTGCAATGTGACGTCATGCAATAGACCTACTTATGCCATCCTGCCCTTCATGGTGTGCGCAGGGAGGGAGCCTGAGAGAGAGGAAAAACCCACACACATGCACAGACCTTCCATCTGTCTCTCTGATTTACATGCTTCAACACACCCTGGTGCTAGCCAGAACTCTGGGCACTACGTGTCCTTGCATGGCCAGGAACCAGCGTGACCCAGGCTCCTGCTTGCTTGAGTGATGCTAGAAAGAGTGTCACTTGCTGCCTGTCAGTAAAATGCTGCCATAAAATGACTCCAGAAGAGGTAGCTCTTACACTAATTTTGCAGTCGTTACTACTAGCAGCAACAGACGGGTAGGTGACCTTGGGCAGATCACACTTACCCCTGCCCTGAATGCCCCCCAGAACACAAGGGATTTCTGAATATCTGCCCTGCTGGCAATCAGTGATGGATTTCCTCAGGTTTCTCTTTTTGTGCTGAAGCTGTTCAAGGCTCGTGGGGGATGTCTTCTCTCTCGCACTAAAGCTCCAGGGTGCACAGCCCCAGGAAGGACAGCACTGTGACCTCTGCGCCACCCTGAGCTCCAAGGCCATCGCAAGCAGAACCGGCACCAGGCAGCAGTTCCTCTGTGGCTCAGCCCAAGTGCTGAGCCCATGGCAGGGAGGAATGGCAGTGGAAACACGAGGGGTGATCTGCATGACTTTGATCTCTGAGCACAATTCTTGCCCTAAAAAGGGCACAGCTGTCACTCCGTTTGTCAACATCAGCAAGTCGTTATGTAAAGCAATACATCATTGTACTTTTGACTTTGTTGCTTGTCGTTTCGGTCGGAGACCGATAGATGGACCACTTGGTCTGTGTGAGGTAACCGCACGGTGGGGAATGCGCAAAGCTGGAAGGGCTCCTCTGGCTCCAGCTAAGCTTGTTATTCTTTCCTCTAATAATAGAGTGAGAATCGAGAAAGAGAGAGAAAATTAGCAGGAGAAAAAGCAGTTCCTCTTTGTTGAATAGACAGTTTAATTTATTCCTGAGCACAATGTACCTGAAGAATGATAAGAAACAACTTTGATATCATGCTAAATAAATAAAAAAGAGGTTACATAATCTAATTTTCCCCGGGTCCTGCAGCAGTTTCTATTTTATCACCTTTCATTTAACCAGAGCAAAATTAATAAGATGAGAAAAGTAAGGCTACCTGGAATACTATGAGATTTCTTACAATGACAAGGAAAGAGTCTTTTAGCTAATTATTTTGTGTGTGGGTTGCTGTCTGGCATGTCAGGAGGACTCACCTGCAGGAGAGGCTGATGTTATGTGCGGGGCATTGAGGTCTGATGGTGGGCTGGCACAAACTGCTGCTCTGGGGCTGCATGAGGTGTTGGACATTGGGCATAGAGGGCAGCAGGGCAAATTTGTGTAGATTTGTGTTGTTCTTCTCATGTGAGATGTGATAAACCATGGTAAGCACCCAAGATTTCAAAGGCAGTTGATTAAAACAGACTGAAATTATTTACTCCCTGTGAGAGCATAACAAGCCCTTCAGTTATTTCCTCTCTCATGGTTTCCCAAAGAAAAGAAAGCAAAATATGAAAATATGCTGTTTTTTCTTCTTTTTCTTTTCCAGATTTTTATTCCATTTGATGTAGAAATTGACGAATACTACAACAGTTGCAGTGAGAGGAGATCGTGACACCTCCACGCATCCCTTCCCCTGTATCAGCCCTTCAGAGTCCCTCACAACTGACAGTGGCTTCAGGCACAGCTTTACCATTTTGGCTCTGGATGTGTTTTAATATCAGTCTGGGGAGGGCAGTGGATGTAAAATTCCCCTTAAAAAGCAGTGATAGGTAATTATTTTCTGTTTCTGCAGAGGAGGATGTACATGTAGATACTGTAGTTTTCCTTTTGGTGAGTATGACTAACACTAACCCATGCAGGAGGGCATCTGTGCCTTCTCATTAACTGGAGGGGGACAGCAAAGAGGAGCTGCACTCATGCAGATACAGCCTGTAAAGCTGTGTAGTGCAGTAACATCTTTTGCACTAAAATTTTCAGAGAGGCTTAAATTGTCACGGTGAAAGGTAGAAGGTCCCAGGAGCTTGTTTTGTGCCTCTTCTCCTTGGGCTCAGCTTAAAGGCTCCTGATAAGGAGCAGCGCTGGTGCTGTCAGTGCCTGGGAGCTGGCTATGCTTCTCCAGAAGAAACACCCATCTGCCAGCTGCTAGTCCCAGGGCTCAAACAGCTCTCACAATGGTCTGACATGAAGCTAAGCCTCTTATCTTATGTGTTGTAACCATGCAGCTGGAAGCAAACTTATATATGCAAATTGTACATCAGTAAATAGTGACAAACGTGACCTGATTCCTCGGGCATTACGTGTTGATATTGGTATCTTTTGTGCTTTGGAAATACAAAATGGGTATGGGAAAATAAATTAGAGAGTGTTGGGAGTTTTGTCACCAGAAGTACTTAACTTTTTTTTTTTTTTTTTAAAGGAAGGAACTCTCAGTTGTGCTGCAAGTTGAGAGACACTAGCCTCAGAAAGCCACTGGATGTTTTTGGCTTGCTTCTTGCAGTCTTTACTGCTGCAATACCACTCAAACAAGGATAAAACTCACGAGTGCCTGGTTCAGCAAGTCACTGCCTAGCTCTCTCTGTGGGCCTCCGTGTACCACTCTGCCCATTTGTCTCAAAGCACCTGATGACACACAGACATGGGGTTACAGGCAGACCCTTGTTTGGGGCATTTATGGCCCCAAACGTCTGACACATTGGTTGAAACAGGCATTCCTCATGTCCAAGCTATGCTGCAAGAAAACTATTGCAGTCTATTTGCCTTAATCGAGGTCCCTTCCAACCCAAGCCATTCTATGTTTCCGTAATTCTACAACCACCTTTCCACCATAGATAAAATAATGCTATAGCATAGCAGGCTGCAGATATGCTTTGCACTAGATTGTAGAATGGAAATATATTGCAGATGGTATTTACTTAAAAGACAAGTAAATTTTTATTTTTGTCTCTGCAAGGAGTAAAACTAATTACAAGCTAGGCTGAGTGTTTTCTTCTTCACTTGAACATTACAATAAGTGGTAACATCTGCATTGCACAATTTATTATTTGTGTGTGCAATGTTGTAAAATATACTTTCCCAACATTATAAGCTGGTGTACTAATTTACATTAAAATGCTAATTTAATTTGGAGTAGAAGAACTCAATATCATTACTTTTTTTCAAAGTATTTTTCTCATCCCATTCCAGAACTCCAGGGAAACTGTTCTAGAATGACTTTGGGGAGTCCTCTCACCACAAACAATGATCTGTTAATTACAGGATGCAACTTCAGCTGAACTCAACACTGGGACACTGGAACTGGAAAAATGCCCTGTAAGTGTTTCTTGAATCAACAAGATTTGAGCCAAATGAGACTGCAGAGTCTCCTAGACATTGCCCTGAGTTGCACAGGCAGCCTTGCAGTACATAGTGGGGATAGTGACTCAGGAAGTAATACTTCTGGTATAACATAATACATTATCACAGCTTTTCATCCAGCAGCCACCTAATGCAGAGCACAGCGGGAGTCCTCTTTGCAAGGACAAAAAGGATGCTCACTGCCACACAAGCGTCCAACTTTACTCATTTTACTTCTGCAGCGGTGTTCCATTCAGCCTTTTTCTCCTTCTCCACTTATTGTCCCCATCAACCAAACCCTTAATAGACCCCTCCAAGTCCATCCATCCTTTGCTAAATCCCAGGGGAGGCTGCACCCTCCTGAGAGGTACAGTGCTTCCAGGAGACACGTAGTCCTGTGCCTCAATGCACGTGGGAGGGAAGGTAGAGACACGAGAGCTGAAGAGGCTGCTTGTCCCCTAGTGTATGATATGAGCTCAGCCCATTCCCCCTATGACTCACACTGTTAGGAGACTAATTAAGCAGAGGAATATCTCTGTATGGATTATAAATAGCCTGAGGGAGTACATAGGGTAAATCAAAGGAAGACCTTGATCACTGTCATTGGCAGCTTAAATCAGGCAGTGTGACTTTGCACAGGGATGACTCAAACAGGAGTGTGGGAATTGCTGCTCCTTCTCCTGAGCACTTGGCTGGTGGCTCTCCTCTGCCACTGTCTTACCTGACTGCAGCTCCAGCCTGGCATTGATAACACAGTGTCACCATCTTAGCAGACGTACTGTGAATAAGCCTGTGGGCAAGAACCTTCAGATCATGTGTGTTTAATCTTGAGGTGATTGATTTAGCCTGTGTACAAGGGAGTAGCCTTTTCTACCACTGCAGCCAAGTTTATTGGGGACTGTGAATTGATTTGAGCCACTAGATGCTACCAGTAGGGCCTTGCTGTTAGCAAGCAGCAGTGAAGAAACATCAGCTGCATCCCTCTTTTGGAAAGAACCATTAACCTCCCGGCTACTGTTAGCCTGGAGATATTCAGCAAGGATTTGTCTCTTTATCTGTGCTTTTAACCTCAGCTGTGAGCTGTTTCTTCAGCTTTGAGAGTTGATTGCATTCCCAATTCTACTTAAGCTGTCGGAATATCTTTGTGCAGCCCATTACTGCCACCAGTCATCTAAATTACATAATTTGCATTGATTTGGTTAATACAAAGAGTTTTTATCCATTCAGAATGGAAACTGATTTTCTGTTGCTGTTGTTCACACAACCATTGCAGACAAAGTAACGTCAGGTGTTCTTCTGCCTTCCAGATACCTCCATCCCCAGTGCAAGGCTGGGTGTCAGAGTGGCACGTCAGATCACAGGAAGGTATGGGACACCACCCCTGCCTTTGTGTTTCCTACCCACAGACAGCCATGATCACTAGAGAAATACTAAACTGAGACTCATCACCTCATCAGCACATGGGCCGCAAAGTATTAATACAACAAATCAAACTCTCCCCCTCCTTTGGCTCCCACACGGAACTGTCCCTCTGATGAAGAAATCCAGACTCCGTTTGGGTTACAGCTTCACTTTAGTATCAAGTTCAAAATCCTATTCTGTTGTCACGGTGAACAAGAGCTGAAGTAAGAAAAGGGAAGGTTACTTTACAACTGGAAGGTAGAACTGAAAACTCTGGAAAGCCACATCAAACTCCATGTAGTCAGATTCCCTCAGTGATTAATTAATCAGAAAATAAATCAAACAAACTGTGTTTTTCTCTGTTTCTTTTGGTAGATCCCATGTTATGCACTTGGCAATCCCAAGGGGATCCCTCTGCTTCTGACTGTTGCAATCCACTTTATTCTCTTGCCCTTTGTTCAGTCCCAGGATGCTTCCACCTGCCATGAGTATGAGGAGATGATAACAAAAACCCCACTGTCTATGGGGAATGATCACCTTACCTTTTATTACAATCTGTTTTCAGGCAGCATGTCTTTTGTGTTCAGTTCTTTGCACTGCAATCTGCATTGCTCAGTGACGTTAGAACAAATTGAGTTACTCCTTCTCGCTCATTAAAAATATCTTGTGTCTGAAAGGGAGATGAGGACAGAAGGGGGAGAGAGAAAGCATCATTATGAGCATGAATTGCTCTCTGATCTTGTTTGGTTTCATCCTACCCTGTGGAGCAGAAAGTGTTCTGTCTGGCTTTGGCAAAGCCAGAATTTGAAAGTTTTTAATTACCATCAGCCATTGTATATGCTTGTTATAGAGCCAGCATAAGAAAAATTCAATTAGCAGCACCAAAACCCAGCCCTCCATGTGTGCTGATGCTGCCCGCTGAAACAGCATGTGGAGCTGATGCGCCGGGTGCCATCACACTGCTGGGTATGCTTGGCAGTGCTCATGTAACACTTAGAGAGTAAATGATGCCCTCTGCTATGTTTGGGTGAATCTGGAAGTAAAATCTGCTACAAGTGTGATGCTGCTGGCCCTCCCGTGGAGGGAAGTACAGCGAGGCAGCCCACTGGGTGCACGAGTGGTGTGCAAACCCTCACTCCCCGCACGGCAGCCTGGGTGTGAAGGGCACTGGCTGTTTGTCGGGCTCTGCAGGCTGCTCTCGGGGCAGCTTGTTCTGAGCAAGTCCTGCAGAGACCTGGCTCACACTCCCGGCTGCATTCACACACAGCTTTGTACAACCAGAACAGGGCATGTTGTTCTCCCACTGAGAACAAACAGCTCCTCAGGCTGTCCTTTCTTTCTCTGCCTTTCCTTTGGTCCCAGAGCAGAATGAGCCCAGCACCACAAACAGCTGAGCACCAGAGAAGAAGCTGTAATGTCTAACCTGTGTGTCAGGCTGCTGAGGGAGGACTGGCTATGCTGCCTGGAGTGATATCTCACAACACGTCTGTCTGTCCTACAGCAGTGTGCACCAGAGGGAACGGCGGCTGCTGCCTGTCTGCTCAGCTGAGTGCCCAACACTGACCTCCAGCCTTAGGTCCCACAGCGCTGCTGGTTTTCTTGGAGCCTGGAGAAATCTGCCAGAAGCAGAAGGAGCTCTCACCTTATTGTTTTTCTATGGTTTGTCCTGTGTCACAGTCAGGCTTTCTGGCTGTCCCTGCTGGCCCAGTAAATGGGATTTCTTTACCTCTTGTTCTCAAACAGAGGATACAAAGTGTAACTGGGATCTGTGCTTTATCAGCGTATAGAAAATAAGTTGATTGGAGTCAAACCAGTCAGCAGACACCCACCTCGGCTGTTGCTATACGAATAAGGTATCCATGGAGATCAAGAGGCTAAATCTAAGAGACATAAAGATCTGGCCCTTGCCTTTTAGGGATCCAGCTGTACGTACAGATTTGCCTATCCTCTCCATCTTCACAGCAGCAGCCCCAGCGGGCAGAGGAGATCCCTCATAGGAGAGGAGATGCTGTGAAGAGGCAGCGAGGCACTGCCTGTTCCCTGCTGGGTTCTGAGAACAGGTGCTGCTCATCCAGCCCAGGTAGCTGAGTTTTAAAGCAGGTTAAACCCAAAGATCACAGGAAATGAAGAAAGGAGAAAGGAATGGTTTGGGGGCAGAGCCATTACCAAATCTCTGTAAAATGTTTTTTCCACTCTTTCTGCTATTAAAGTCATTTTTTTCTTTAACACTCAAACTGATTCTGCTTTTGCAGGCTTAGATTTGATTTAAAGTGCTGTTGGCTCGGTTGTGGATTAGCTGGTTCAGACAAGCCTGCAGGCGGATCCCATTAGCACCTGCTCTTCCCCTATCTTTGTGAAGCCTTACTGGGACCTGCAGGGATGCAGCTGGAAGGGCAGCAGATCCAGCAGTGCCAACACCCACACAGGGCCTGATCCACACTCCCACATATGCGAAGACCAAAGAGCACAAACAACCAGGCAGTGCAATGCTATACATATCCATTTGTCTCTTTTTCTAGGATATTTACAACTTCTTCTTCCCTTATATTTAGCAAATACATGGACATGATACCTGCTTGATAATTTTTCTGGAAGGTCTTTGTCTCATTACTAAACATTTGCTTTCTGTGAAAACTTTTGATAAGTCACATCCAGCCTGGAAAAACACTGTGAGGGACATTATCTTTTTAGCTGTGCTGTGTGGGGCTTAGACCCTGCTTGCCAGTCTGCTCAATGTTCTCCCTTTAACTATTAGGTCTCAGTAAGCTTGTATTAATTTTGCTTTTCCCCAGTTTTAATGTATGTGCTTAAGAGACTGGTTGGTTGGCTGGTTGGGGGAGATTTTAGATGTCAGGGGGAGAGTTCTTCATTGAGAGAGAAGTGAGGTGCTGGCACAGGCTGCCTAGAGGGGCTGTGG